CTGTTCTGACTACTGCCTCTTGGTCCAAGTATAGGTTTCGCATTAGCACGATTAAATGCTCTGGGATTCTCATTCTTCCCAAAGTCAGCCACAGTTTGTTATTATCCACTCAGTCAAACGCCTTTGCATAATCAATGAAACACAGATAGACATTCTTCTGGTATTCCCTGCTTTCAGCTAAAATCCATCTAACATCGGCTACAATATCCCCAGTACCACGACCCCTTCTAAACCCTGCCTGGACTTCTGGCAATTCTCTGCTGATGTGCTGTTGCAGTCGTTTTTCGATAATCTTCAGTTCAATCTTGCTTGCGTGTGAAATCAATGATCTTGTTCTGCAGTTTCCACACTCAGTTGGGTCACCCTTCTTTGGAATGGGAACAAATACAGATCTTTTCCAGCCAGTTGGCCAAGTGGTTGTTCTCCAGATTTCTTGGCACAGCTTGGTTAGCACATCCAGGGCAGCATCTGTTAGCTGAAATACTTCAATTGGTATACAGGGTAGAAAAGGATTATTCTGATCTGTTGTTTATAAGGTTCCTATGAGTCATACTCAACTTGACAGCCCCTAACTATAACAACAAAGAGAGGTAGGATATTTGGAGCAGGGAGGGACCTGAAAGAGGCTGAGTCCTAGACAATGGGTCCCTGGGCCAAACTGTACTATGTGGATGGCTGAGTGAGGTTGTTAGGGGAGGGGCCATTGGTATCTGGAACCTGATCTTCCCCAGGAAAATGATTCCTATTGCATCATTATAGAGGCTCCTCCTCTCTTCATCCCCTATGGGTAGTACTTGGGGAGCTTGTCCTTTAACTTTCTCCTGTCTGTATTCTCTATTGGGAGCTCTGGTGATTCAGTGGCAAGAGCTGTACTGCCAACCGAAAGAAACACGAGTTGAAAGCTGCTCAGCGGGATAAGGATGGACAATCTCCCTGCGATTCACTGCCTTTGAAAACCCCGTGTTAGGTCAACTGTGAGTTGGTTCACATTAGATGATACCTATTTGGCAGCACTAAGGCCCCAGCTTGGAATGTTCAAAAACATACAAACAAAAAAATCAAACTGAAAACCAGCCATTGGGAAATTCTAAACTGAAACCAACTCTTCTGGACTACTGAAAATAATCAGAGGAATCATGTAATAACAGTGAAAAAGTGATCTTCTGTGTTCTATTTCAACTGAAGACCAACAAAACTGACCACTGGGCTAGGAGCCATATTGTTATATACCTTCCATTTGAGTACAACTCAGCAACCTATAAACAACAGATCTGAATTCTGCCCTATCTTGCACCATCCTCACTATCTCTGACACACTTGAGTCTGCTGCTACAATCACTGTTCAGCCGATCTCAATGTCTTCCTCTCCATCCCTCCACCTTTCAAAGCATGATGTCACCTCCAAGGAACAGCCTTTTCTAACACATCCAAAGTTTCTAAGACTTCATCATCCTTGCTTCTAAGGAGCACTGTGACTACACTACTTCCAAGACATATCTGTTCCTTTGGCAGTCCATGGCATATTCAGTACTTTTCTTCAACACCACAACTCAAAGGCATCAACTCTTTTTCTGTCAATCTTATTCATTGTCCAGCTTCCCTATGCTATAGCTTGGATCAAGCACATCCTAGTCTTTAAACGGACATAATTAATTGCTCTTCAGGGTTTTGGAGAGGTCTCTAACAGTACACTTTGCTAAAGTTGTACATCTCTTGATTGTCTGACTGCTGGTACCAATGGTGTTGATTGTGGATCTTAATAAGATGAAATTGACAATTCCATCTTTCTCCTTCTGTCATGATGCTGTGGCCCAGTGATTAGGATTTTTATTTTCATGATGTTGAGATGTGATCCAGACTGAAGGCTATAATCCTTAATCTTCTGCAGCAAGCACCTGAAGTCCTCCTTACTTTCAGACAACATGGTTGTATCATCAGCATAGTGCAAGTTGTTGATGAGTCTTCTATCAGTCTTGATGCCACATTATTCATAAAGTCTAGCTTCTTGAATGATTTGCTGAGTATACAGATTAAATAGGTATGAAGAAAGGATACAGCCCGATGTACGCCTTTCTTGATTTTAAGCCATGCAGTGCTCCCTTGCTCTGTTCAAACAACTTCTTAATATAGGTTTTATATAAGCTTAATTAAGTATTCTGGAATTCCCTTTCTTCTCAATGTTAACCATTGTTGTTACAATCCACACTTTTTCAATGTCAAATGTAATATTCTCTGCTTTCAGCCAAGATCCATCTAATACCAGCAGTGACATCCCTGGTGCCATGGCCTCTTCTAAATAACTTAAACTTCTGGCAGTTCTCTGTCAATGTACTCGTATAGCCATTTTTATATGATCTTCAGTAACATATAGTTTACATGTGATTGATATAAATTATATGGTTCAATAGTTTCCACTTTCTGTTGGATCACCTTCCTTGTGAATGAGAACAAATACTGATCTCTGCCAGTTGGTTGTCCAAGTAGCTGTTTTCCAAATTTCCTGTCACAGATTAATGATTAACATTCAGGGCTGTATCTGTTAGTTGAAACATATCAATTAGTATCCCATCAATTCCTGGGGCCCTAATTTTTTCTATTGTCTTCAGAGCAACTTAAACTTCTTCCTTCATTACCATTGGCTCTTTCTTGATCATAGTATACTTCCTGAAATATTTCAATGCCATTCACTTCTGTACAGTGACTGTGTGTATTCCATCTTCTCCATAAAGATTTTTTCACATAATGTGAAACATATGCTTGAGACTTGAATTTGTTTTTCAGTTCTTTCAACTTTAAAAAGGCTGAACAAGTTCTTCCCATTGTATTCTTCAGCTTCAGCTCTTTGCACAATCCATTATAATACTTTGCTTTGACTGTTCAAGCTGTCCTTTGAAATCTTCTGTTCATCTCTTTTACTTCCCTTTCCTTTGTTTTGGCTTCTAGGTGATCTAGTGCGATTTTCCATCTGTCTTCTGATATCCATTTGCTCTTTTATTCCTCCTTTGTCTTTTTAATGACCTTTTACTCTCTTCATGGATGATATCTTTTATGTCATCCCACAACTCATCTGGTCTTCAATCATTAATGTTCAGTGCCTCTGATCTATACTGGAGATGATTTTTACATTCAGGTGGGATACAAGGTCATATTTTGGTTCCTGTGGACTTATTCATTATCTTCTGATTAACTTTGAACTTGCACATGGGTAACTAATGGTCTGTTCCGCAGACAGCATTTGATCTGATTTTGGCTGCTGATAATGAACTTCTCCAATTATTCTACAAATGTACTCAGTCTGATTCCTGTGCAGTCCTTGAGGTGATGTTAATGTGTATAGTCTGGTTTTTCTTTAAAAAGTTATTTGTGAAGGGATTTGTGAATCACTGAACGTATAAAATTCAATCTTTCAACCTCCAGCCTCATTTGTATCCCAAATGTATAATTTAAAACTACTATTACTTCTACGTTGTTTCTAACTTTTGCATTTCGATCACCAATTACCACTAATGCATCTTGACTGACTGTTTGGTCAATTTCACACTGCAAAAGTTGGTAGAATTCCTCAATTAACTCCTCCTTTTAGCTGTTGGTACATATACTTGAATAACAGTTGTTATAATAGGTCTTTGTTGTATGTGTATGGATAGTATCCTATCACTCACAGCATTATACTTCATGATAGATCTTGATTTTTAACCATGAATAGATTTTTATTTATATATAAATTGTATTACATTTATACATAATATGTACATATTTATAACATTTTTATGTAATACATATGTGTTATACATAGATTTTTAAATATGAATTTAATACCGTTCTTCTTCACCTTTTTATTCCCAGCATAGAAGATCATATGATTGTACAATTCAAAATGGCAAAT